TTTTTCTCGAAAATATTTGCAAAAAATTGACCAGTTTTGCTATGTCTACTTATTTGACTTTGCCTTCATCGTTCAGGTAGTGTGCAGATTTGGCGACGAATAGAAGAAGCATCGCTGGAGCCAATATATCCACTGACTCATTTTTAGAGCTCTGTCTTTTTTTTTTTAAATCGCTTGCCATCCAGGCGCTGCTGCATGAATTTGAATTAAGGTAGTTCGATGGAACAATGTCTCAATTATAATCAGAAAGAGCTCCTTTAATATTTTGAAACAGCCGCCAAAGCCGTATCAGAAGTGCCTACAGATAATAGCAAGCCTGCTCTTGCTGCTCTCCGAAGCGTGGTTTATGTCTCAAATACGGATGCCCAGCTGAACCATGTTAAAGCCAACACTGGAAAAGAAACTATGTCTTGCCTTTAAGCTCTTAACAATTGCTTCGCGCTGTCTTGTTCTAAACAAAAAGTTATACTTGTCCCAATATAGCCATGGCGAAAGGGGTAGATTCGAGTAGATAATTTTCAATCCCGTTATTACCGAAGACCGCTACTAAAAAATGCATATAATGCAAATATAGCACACTGCCAGAAAGTGGCGTGTCAAAGTTCATAAAACAAAAGTGAACAAAAAAATGTACATGTAGTAAGGTTCAATATTTATAACATTCTCTCTTAGTTAGGAGTCTTATCAAAATCCTGCATATCTAATAAATACTATAATTAAAAGAGTTAGCAAAGACATTAAGCATAACTATCCTTTATAGGTAATCTTACTTTTTTTAATTAAAAGTATTACAATTTTGATCTGTTGTGCTTCGTTCTTATCTCAAAAAAGAACAACAACGTGGACTAGTGGATGTTTTGATTGTTATATATGTCGTTTAGATAATAGCTAGAGAGGTAACAAAACAGGTATCGTAAGCCAATTCTGGATAATTTATTTACAGCGAAATACCTGTGTAGGGTGATTTTTGCTAATACATGTTTGACAAAAAAGTATCTTCACAATTAGAGGGTATAATGAGCAGCATACATCTAGAAATTGCAAGTAATAATGGGCTACGTCTGGCGTAACGCTTAACAACAGGATCGAAACATTATTTTCGTAGACTAAAGTTGACCACTCTCAGGAACCGGAGTTAAAGACACTCGAGAAGACTTCGAATCGTTGGCCAAGAAAAGTCTTTACTTGCTCATTACAGCCATTGAAGCTCTATAATGCTAATGAAAAGCGCTTTTTTCAAAAATCCTTCACAGCGAAAGATTTTGGCTTTTGAGTTACAGTTTAAACGATACGTACAAATACCGTTTTGCAACTAAAACCAAATTTTGGGTAATTTAATTATACAAATATAGGGTAAACTTCACATTTGGGATAGTTGCGCTAAAAGCTTTTAGCTTCGTTACTAAAATTTAGGGATGCTATTTATAATATCAGGAACTTTCTTTAGCCATGTAATATATCAATCTTTTTTTTAGTTAGATAGCGTATAATATTGTTGTTCCCTTATATTTCTTGTAGAGCACTATTTTGGCTAAGCTCGAAACGGTATCTGCACATATAAAGGTGTTTCAATTACATAATTTGATAAGATATAAACAAGCTGACCTTATTCGGGGAATTCCAGCGATAGCCTAGCTAGAGGTATGTCCACAGCTGGCCTTATTTCTTGAAGCCGGCTTTTGCTTTACCGGTGGCTGAAGATAGCCCTTGGGAACAGATTGAAGGAGATCGTTACGGATAAAGGACAAAGTAAGATCATTTGTCAAACACATTGAAATCAATTTTCGTTGTCAGGCTTGTTCATTAGAGCTTCACGCTTTTTTGCTACGGTGCCATCATGGCACGCATGGCTACTGCGTGCTATCATTTCTACGGCGATTATGGTGAAGTGGTAGGATAGCCCTGTCCGTCGATGTTCTATATAAGAAAATAGCAAACTGAAATGAACATTAGTTCGTTCAGCAGAAACCCTAAGTGTTTAAAACCGTGACGAAAGCTCTTGCGTAAAAAGTAAGCGGCAAATGGGGCTGGAGTATAACATCTGGTCACTGGATGATTAACTATTATTCGTTTAGCATTAAACCAATTCAGCTACGAAATAGAAGATAAAGACATTTCTACCATTGTGTTATGTTTTACAATTGTAGGGTATACGGCTGGAAAAAGGTATGGTCGACAGTTCAGTGGAAACTTTAATAAAAGGACACAGTTTGATTCAACAGGTTGTTGAATGCAAAATCGACGACCGATACGAACGAATACTGAATGTGAGTGCCCAGTTTTATCAACCCGGTGTGTGCATTTATACATTTTATTCTTTTAACGGAATTTTGCACGCAATTGCCAAAATGAAAAATACAGTAAATTAACTGAGATTTGAAATTTAGGCATGGTTATCTACCAGATGCTATGGAGTGGAAGCTACGGAAGACACTCATATTTTTCCTCGGGAAAAACACGAAGAAATTGTGCATTTACAAAAACTTCGTTGTCATTTCATCGTAGTATAGAATATAATACTCATATGGTAAGTTCACTGACGACAGCTGGTTTAAGTTAAGAGCAATTAACTAGACCTCTCCACATCGATTTTTTCATCTCTATCACCTACGGGGCGGAAAGCACTGCCGTTCAACATCACCCTAATGTGCCATGTAACATACGATTTTCGAAAAGCAAAGCATATATGAAGTTGATTTGTGAAATCGCTCAGATACAATGCTTGTTTAACGTATACTGAAATGAATATTGAACCTGTTGACCTCCCCACGCCCAGCCATAAAGATATTTCAGGGTACATATATCGCCCGTAAAGAAGCAAACGGATATAAATACATCTTGCTCTTTAGTAAGAATGATATACTGTACTTATGTTCTAAAGTAAAAGTCATAGGAGGAAAGAGCGGTTTTTTAGATTCTCACGTTATCGCTTCTTTCTCGTCCGCCGCGCGCATGTCGATTTTCCGACGGCAGGTAGCGTTACATCAGTCTTACATTACATATAGGCTATAGTATGCAGATCTGTCTGGCGCACATGTATGTACAACGCCGGACAACAACTCCGTTCTGCTCATGATGGCCAGATTTACCCGGTAGATAACGTGAAGAGTGTAATGATTGCGGTTACGGTTTTGATGTACAAACTGAGAGGAGACTCTTGTTTCGGTAGGGACCGCGTGGGAGTGAATAAGTAGGCGCTTAAATTGAATGGCTGATTACTACGCGATTGTATTTACATACCCCGCAATTTAGATACAGCCAAAAGAATAGAACGTTTGGCGCCAAAAAACAATTCTTATGAACAATGCCTTCTCCATTGTAGTTACGTCTTGTTGTATGAAGGTCAAAACATTATTTAAAAAAAAGGTCTTATCTATGAATATCTTTACTGTCAAAGGGTTTTGTACGAAGCGCGAAAAAGGGTCTGATGTAAGGAGTAAGGTTAAGTAGGCTAGACAATTTCACGTTCCCCGTTGACCGCGGTAGCTAGTATGGCCGGATCAAAGACCACTGTTTCGAGCTCAATAGTAGAATATATGTGGTCATGCCGAACCTAAAGCCGATGGTTTTAATACTATCTTCAACAGGAGTACCCCGACGGCATATTATTCAAGAACGCAGGCAAAACTATATACCGATTAATTAATGTGTAAACACTGAAACGTAAAAATACAAGTTCTATTTATATACTTAAGCTATGCAATAAGGTAATAGTAAATGTCAAGGCGGTACGTTTTAGAGAGAATAAATTATATTGTGTGTTATAAAAGGGAACACTGAAACTCGCTACGATGAGTAAGTACCAGAATGCGAAATGAGCTGGAAACCTCTAAGTTTAATAAATGTATTTACTAGATGCCTACGGTTGCACTGTGAACTTTCACTGGCCTATTGAGCTGAGAGTAAAGGAATCTTTATACGTACATACATTAGTTGACATGGTGATGTACGGGTATAATTTCGTACATGCAAATAATCTCAGGAGAGACAATGACTAACGATTAGCTAAACAGAATCCTGCGTTCGTTCTGCAAACGAGAGTCGCCTTGGGAAGCAGCTTCCATTTTGCATGAACTGCTAAAAGGGAGGTATCAATTTAGAGCTTGAAAAGACTTCCAACATGTAGATTGCTGTCTATAATTTGTGAATTCATGAAGCATATCGGTCTCCACAACGTAACACCAAGTCAACATTGTTCCATCGTGCAAGAAAAAAAGATCGTCAATTTTATGTATCAGTTAGTCCCGGAAAAGGTTTCCCAAAGCAACAGTCACTTTTCCGCTAAATCAACTTCAACGCATTCAGCTTAAGCGTTATCCTGTGTGTTAACTTCAAGGATTTCTCTAACTGTACAGTTAACAGCCTTGTTAGCGCTTCACATAATAACTATATCCACGCCAACATGAGCAGGAAAATCCGACGAGAGGGAAAATGGACAACAATATCAAAAGTGAGGAATATATGCAGGCCGATACCCTAAAATGCAACCGGCTAATAACTCTTCTGAAACAGCCAAATCATGTAGCTATACAGGCACTAAATGATCATTCCGCTATGAATTTACTCGAGAAGGTACTGACGCAGTCGCAAAAAAGGTAACCAAACGCAAGAGGTTTTAATAAATGAATGGGTCAACATTGTTCAATTTATGATGACGATGCCTCGTATTTCGTCAATTGTACATGAGACGAGGGCAGATGAATCGTACAATAAATAGCCTTATAGTAACGTCTTTGTAATTGATCCGGAAAATCTGGCCAAAGAAACAGGAACAGTTCGCCGATAAGGCATCAGTGATGTATGATGTAACACTACTAAGGGTAGTTACCAGCGGAAAAAATTATGTATAGGTAACTTATAGCAATGAGTCCCGAAGCTTGGAGAAAAACGATATATATAATCCAAATAAAGTCACAATTGGTTTAGTAATTGTTTTTCTCCGTTCTTTTACATGCTTCTTCTATTAATACGTGCAGATATGATTTTTGTGATGTACGCACCTGCAAAATCTTCCAAATTTCGGCGAAAGCGTCCGGATGTTGTTGAGCGATAAATTTAAAGTAGTAAGGTTGCGCGCACAGCAGAAGATTTCAGGCGGTACCGACGTAAGCCGACATGCGGCCAGATTAACTCGTTGTAGCGCGGCCGAAAATTCCGGTATACAGGTTGAACTGCCACTAAGATCCGTACCTCGGACATCAAGTAGGAGAGGTAACTCGAAGTCTCCATTTGTAGGGAAATCGTCTGAGCCTGAACCACCCGTTTCGAAACCTGTTTCTGAGCCGTCAGATGTTGATGGAAAATCTTCACTAAGGCCCATACTGGCGCTATTGCAGTATTAATCCTCAGCTTGTTAGGGTTATTATCTGTAATTAACAACAGACGCAGTTTAACCCTTTTATTTCGTTTAGTAGTAGTAGTTCGGCTTAGCGATTCAGTAAAAATTAATACGTTCTTTTTTTGAGATTGGAGTTTCTTAAACACAATAGATTTTTTGCTCATAACCAACTAGGGATCCAGTAGAATAGGCTATATATAGTAATTATAACTATATTTAGATCTGTTAAAAATAATCACGTAGTGTTTCGAAAGCAGTAAAGAAAGTACGACTGAAAAACATTTTCAGATTATATGGAACTTACAGCAGCCACGACTGCCTATGCTGACACCAGCTTCTTCGCAACGTTCGCGTTCTATGATTTCATAACACGTGCCGAACAATCTTTATATTTGAATATATAAAGTATTATATATTTGAAGAATCTTCAGTATATATGTAGAACGTGTCAAAAGCTAAGCTATCCTCAAAATTTATTGATTAATACAAATTATAGAAAAAAAAAAGACCTATTAAAATAATCGATCGGATGAATATTAATATTGTATAAATATTGGCCTAAGTTATTTATTGACTGGCTAACTTTAAATATTCGAAAGCAGGCCTATAGTTTTCTAGCTCGACAGAGCCGTAGTAACTTGTTTTTTTTTTTTTTTTTTTTGATCTTCTTCGTAGTAAATATGGTTGTTGTATTTCCTAAATAGTAAAAGAATCTCGAGAGATTGTTAATGTAAACATTTTTTGTATATGATATTTGTTAACCGAAATCAAGAAATTAATCTAAGAAGTTACTTAACATTGCTAAGTAACCAAAGAATTTAACTTACTCACAACATATTTCAAGTAAAGGAATAGAAAGAAGGAAAGGAAAAGTTAGAAATTTGTTTCGAATAAATCTTTACTCATACTTTAGGTATGGTTCTGCGATTTTTTTAATATTAGTCCGGTGTATCTTCTTTGCTTGAATTCACAATAGATTATTAGATACAGTATCCAACTATTTTTATTGGAGACAGATAGCTTTAAATTAGGTGTACTACTCCGTGAAATACGGGGTATGAACGCGGTGAAGGGTGATGTTTTTGTCTCGAGAATTGTCCGAAAATAGGTTCCGCATAGACCTGTGACGGACTATGATTACGCAAGGAATGCTCAGGCTGTATTTTATGCGACGCCAGGCACACAGTGACCCGGCAACTCCCTTCTATCCCAACATCTGAAACATCATTGTTGTATCTCCGGACAACTCATATCGTGTTGCTCAGAACGCTTAGCAAAAAGCATAGAAATAAATGGTAAAATTTACATATGTTGATTTTTTATTTACATATAACGTCCATACAGGGATACATATTGAGATCATCGAATGCTATAAAACAACGATAGTTAACACTGAAACAGCGGATCTTACAGATAATAAGATTCAATTAAACAAATAAACGTTCATTATTGAACTCTTTTTCTTCGCATCGTATGCTTGCCTCTGTCATTGTATAGACATTTCCTTTTCCGTATCACATTTTTACCTGTTCATCATAGCTATGATTCCACTATACTCAAATATGACGTTCTGTAGAGTGGCCCAAAGCCGTCTAGGCTATAAAATATTTCAATACCCTATGAGGCGCAAACCTAAAAAATCGATCCGCAACTTCAATCATAAACTTCCCCCCAACATCAACGCGGTCACCTGTACCGAAGGCGAACCTTATTCTACTTCTAGATAAATCGTGATTATAGGTAGTAGCAATGCTACCGTACGCACACATGATCATGTTCATTATTACGTTACATGATATAGATAAGAAATCCGATCGCGGAGAAATAGCGCGATAAACGACACAGTAGATAATGACGACAACTCAGCAAGGGTTTGTTTCCTTATGAATATCATATACTGCTACTATAATTAGCTGTGTTGGGTCCGATGTCGAAGCGGTAACTACATCATCTGCTCGTCGTTAACTACGGCTGATTGGCCTGCAATTTGTTTGCCTCTTGCTGCGTTCGATTATAACACGATGCAGGGAGCCACCACGGAAAGAAAGTTGCGGTGATCCTGCCCTGGGGCATTTTATCAAAAGGAATTGATGGCAGATTTTTCAAGATGTCGAAGGACACGTTTTTAAACTTAGGTCAGTTGTCGAGTTCCTTCTGACTTCCAGCTGCTGTTTCGTGCGAGTGCGATCGAAAGCCGACGGCGAAGACCGGAGTGAAGAAGCGCTTATCTTCTTTATGCAAACGAAACTAAGCAATAAAAGTGTACCGGCAAGGCTTTACTGGGCATAAATTATTCTGAATATCTTTAAAAATCACTTTGTAGCATAACAGTATTGTCAATGTTACAGCTGTATCAAGTACACTATAAAGCAATCCGATCCCTGGTTGGTTTTGACGTACGGTGATGCTCCCCAATGGTCTAAAAGAATAATTCTCAAAAATTATTTTCTTAATTGATATTCACATAATTTTTAGGGCTTTTGCCAAAGTTTAATTTTAGTTGAAAACCAGTTCGCCAGTATTTTTATACGAGAAAGAAATTTACTAGTATGAATTAGCGGCTGGGTTTGCTAAATATCGGGCGTACATACATTTTGCACCAAAAGGTTTATTTCAAGTTCAACCAAGTTTTAGTAGACTGCCAGGTTTTGGATTCCTTCTGATGTTATGAATTATTTTGACGAGTTTGTTTAGTTATCGGGGGGTATCAAGAGAAACATATCGAAAAAAATGGTTTTGCTTTTTTTACACGAAAAGCTCCATATTTTATTTTCCAACATCAAGGTGACTATCTTTTGCCTTAAAAAATTTACCCACACAATTGCTTTTACGCTGCTGGCTTGAAAAACGCTACCTTGAATGTTGGCGTTGACGTTACAGACCGAGTTAACCATTACGCTAATAACCGTTTTGTAGTTGTCTGCTTTTAGAGTTAATTTATAAGAAAGAAGCATTTTTAATTGGTTGCAGTTTCACGCATATATTTTTCCATTCAGAATTTAACACTACGCTTTATTGCAAAGCGAAAAATTAGTATAATGTAAATACAGTAACTCTAATTGAAGTGAATAGAAATAATTTTTCGGAGGGAATAACTTGTGCTAATTAAATTCAAAGTGTGATTCAAGTGATCGGACCTCATCTCTTCGTATCACACAGAAATTCCCATCGTGCAGATATTCAGTGCAATATATAGCTATTGATTACCTTTGGGTACTCAACATTTTATCCTTACTAAAAGTATTACTGTTGACTCTTGGCTTAAGTGCAAAAGTTAGACCTTTAATACGGCTTAAGGCTAAGCAGCTGACGAGCGTTTGTGCGGTGCTTCCAGTGACGAGTTCAAGATCACTTTCGAAGTACCCAAGCTGCCATTTGTCACGGCAGATTCGGACGATCCGGTAGAACTGTTTTTGTTGACGGAACGAATTCGGTCGATGATGCCCATACCATGGCCGATTTGGCTACCTTTAAAGACACGCCACTGGACACTCTAGCATCGAACAAAGATCAATTGATAATTCCACTAAATCATAAGTTCTGAGTAGTGAAAGGCAACCACATGGCCAGTCTCAGCTGTCTGCTCGGGAATAGCCAGATGGTTACGGTGAAATGTCCCGAAAAACACAGCGGGTTTTCTGTTCTAGGGCAAGTAGGCGGAATAGAGGTCAAAAGCTCAGCATAAAGTTCCACATCTTGTGGTTAAAGTATAGGTCAGCGATGTGCATCCATCTACCTGCAAAGTACGATAGCTAGCGCCCTGGACATTTCCTGAGTAACGAAAATAATGAGATTCCGTTCACAAAACCTCCCTTACCGGTATCTCTATGCGGACAGTTCAGGCCATACTCCTTTTTGTTGGAGGGTGTCTTCTAGCAACGGTTGTCATCGGTCTAGAAACTTAAACGATGGTGCTCTATCACGCACCACCGCGATGTTCTAAATAATTATACAGCACAAGCTCAACGATTCTCCAGAAAAAGCTAAGGGCCAAACATTATCTGTGCCTATACGAAACAAATTGAGATAGTTTTTCCAATAATTTCACTTTCAGGCGGAACTGTGTTCTCGGCCTCATCTTGTAAGCCAGCCTAGCAGAAAAAGACGTTTCTGTTGGGATTCGCACCTTCTTTCCTCTTCTAACTAGACGATATTGGAATCTAACCGGTCATCCAAAACTCTCATAACGTGTCAAGCGGGAACTCGAATGGCCACAAACCCAAATATCTGAAAGACTCGCAAAGAAAGGATATGTCTGTCAGTCCGCTCCTGTATACTTTAGTGAGATCTTGTAAACTTCTATTGAATGGTCGATTTCCAGATTTGGTGCCGGATATTTTCTACAAAGTCTATTTTTTGGCACTCAGAAAAAGATGGCGCAATTCGGCCAATAGATATAGATCACACATCATTAGCTACTCTTTGCCTTTCTTCTCTATAGCCAGCGCTCTTATTACAATTTCATAACATGTATTTCGGCTTATGCCGTATTGAATCGGGAAAAAGCGCATTTGTCGCGCTTTGTTTTGCTCAAAAGTCTTGGTGATTACGCTAATTCCTTCTTTTTTAAAGTACTACCGTGTAATCGCCTTCTTTGTGCTCTTTAGGCCTACAATTAAGTTCTTCACCGATAACAATTTCCCTAAAGCTTTCCTCGCCCAGTGTCTTCACCAGTCTTCGATAAATTCCACCAGTGCTCTCACTTTGAAAGGACAAAACTTTAACTACCGAGCGCTGATTTTCGGTATCTTTGTTTTTTCACTCATTACATTCTGATGGTTTTCAAGTAGGCTGTAGTCGTAGACCTTATCGAAACATTTGCCACATCTCATCTCCTAAGTAAGCTCAGTTAAAAAGTCATGAATGTTCTTCAACGAACAACCTTACAGGGTAGCCCATCAATCCTTAAATAGAACTTGACAACCCTCCATTCTTGCTATTTTCGGTTATTACGACCGGATTGGTCGATTCGCGTACTTCCAAATACGTTAGGAGTCCATAAACATACAGATATATAGATATGCAGAA